ATTTTAAGACCTATGGGAATAAAATCTATTGCTATGTTATTAGTTTATTTGAAGTGCTTGACAAAATAGGAAATTTGGAAAAATATTATATACCATCCAGTTTGTAAGCAAAACATATTTAAATAAATGGTATTCTTCCTTAAATTGAAAAAAAGATGAATAAGCAAGTGTCTAAAAAATAGAAAATAGTCCGTCTGTACTCTCCTTGGCTTACATGTTCTATACATGTTGGGAAAAATTTGAACTTTCAAGTACTCAACCTTGCCTTCTCCCACTGTTGACTTTATAAATATGTTATGTTCCGTGAAACCCTATGGAAATCATCTAATGTAAGAGACTTGGTGACTTAGCAAATATGTTTGAAGAAATGTCTGTGATACTTCTCTCTAAACAACCAAAAAAGGATGGACAAGTGATTCTCTGCAAGAGGAAAATCTTCATACCTATGAGATTAGGTTAAATAGTCTGCTCTAACATTTAACATAAGGGCAAACGAAGTGTGTCCAGGGAGAAAAAATAGTGGCTCTGTGAAACATGTTAGGAAAGAACAAGCATGTTCATGTGGTTTTTTTTCTTCTTGTAATATGGAGTTTCATAATTCATCAATAAACCAATGGTAGATAAATTTCTCATGACTCTCACATTTAGTGGACTTGTGAAGGACCCTTGCATCTTCACCAAAGACTTCCCCAATGCTCCTTTCTTCCTGCTCTCTCTTAGAAAGTTTCTAGAGCCCACAGATGTGCTGGGTGGTCTTGCTCTCTGTGCCAAGGTAGACCAGGACCCCTTCCCAACAGGAGGGAAACAGCGGAGTTTTCTTGAGACATCTTCATGCTAGGGATATTGAGATGGTGGCCAAGTTGGAACATCGTACTGCAAATGGGAGGATGGCACACACCTGCCAGGAGCCCACTCTATGCATTTTGCACAGAAACCTGTATTTTCCTCACTAGTCTTCTTGTGGCTTAGATTTTTGTTTTGAGTGGATAATTATTCTGTCGCGTCTACCTCTCCTACTGTTTTCTTAGAAAAAATGGAAAATCACAGGAACTATTAACTTTTTACTGAATAAAAGGAACTAAAATTTATATCAGAAATGAAAATAGAAATGAGGCAGTATATTAGCACAGTAATGAGTAGGTGCATTAAGAAACTCAGAAGGAAACTTGAAAGGAAAAGTAAAATAAAAATACAAATGACCAAGGGCTGGTGGCATGTCTCAAGTGGTGGAGTGCTAGCCTTGCAAGCTCAAGGCCCCAAGTTCAAAATCCCAGAACTAGCAGGAAAGTTCAAATAATTAAGTCTTTGAGTTCAATCTTCGGTATCAAAAGACCCCAGATTATCTATCTATCTATCTATCTAACCTAATAAGAATAAATGGAAAAACCTTCTTAGAGAAAAGGGCTCTTATTTACACATTGGTGTATTTCAATGGGAAACTTTCTACTTGGTATACTACCGAAAACAAGATCTTAATGTCTAACCTCTCTCGGGGGAAAGAGAGTCATGAGCAAAATTAAGGAGAGAATCAAGAAATACCATTGCAATAAACCATCCTGAACTCTCTGGACAAGAAAGAAACACTGCATATGGTGTGCTGCAGCACCTGCAAAATTCTTCTAAATAATGTGTGTTCTCACAAACATGTGGATGGATAGAATAAAACTCACACACCAAGTGACGAACCCCATATTGATATTGCTATCATACCTCCCCAAGATACCTCATCAGTTCCTTCTAATTGATTTTTCCAGTGCAATATTTGCCACTGTACCTTGTTTACTAGTAACATGGCCATTAATATTTTGGAGATTTTAGTATTATTAGTAGTATTTGTCCATTAGTGCTCCTCCAAATCTACCATGTAACACTCTTCTTGCTAGAATAAAGAGAACTTAACAAAAAAATAAGAAAGACAGTGAGCCAGCCCGCTAATAGAAATCTCAGTGTTTTTCCATTCATTCTCTATAAATTTAAGCTTTCTTGACTGAGAAAGAGAACAGCTACTCTGTTGAAGGAGGCCAGTGAGATTATAAAGAGTTTCCTGACCCATCTCTACACCTTCCATTCCTACTCAGGTTGTACAGCCAGTGATCTCTACCTAAGGAACTGTGGAATCAAATCACTAAAAACCAATAATAAAATGTAACCAAGTGATTAAAAGCAGACAGCTAAAAGCCAAAACTTTCTATAGAAAAAGGAAAGGGCTATCATACTTCATTGCAAAATTCCAATGGTGTTTTATACAATTGATAAATTCAGGTTTGTAACTTCTTGATTTATATACTGGGTATAATATTTTAACTAGTTGCCATTTGTGGATCAATGCCTAAACATGTTCTAGAGAAAAACACTTGTACAACACATTTAGTTAAATATTGTTTGTTTCAATATATGTAATCACCTTTTCTAAAATACTAAGGACCACTCAAGTAAAAATGTTTGAATTTAGCATTTCATCCTCTTTAGCGCTGCTTTACGTTCATGGATCGAGGATTTGTGTTTAAGATGGTCAACAATTACATCAGCATGTTCTCTTCCGGTGATCTCAAGGTAAGAACCACCGACAGGAGTGATTATTTGCTAAACTCTGGCATCATAAATGAGTAAATTAGTGTTCATGTATATATGACAAAACATTAACCTATTATCCATTTTCTGTATCAGAAAGTGATGTCTATGCCAAGGAAAGGCAGCCTTTCAAGTAGTCCATCTACTGAGAAAGCCTCCCTCTCAAGTCCTTCCTTCCTTAATGGAAGACAAAGGAGAGATGAATGTGTTTGCTTTCCAATTCTATTTCCTTTGTGGTAAAGGGGTGGCTCTTTGTGGGTGCAGTTCCTGAAGTCCTGTTTGCCCTGGGATGTCTTAGTTACATCCCTGAAAACTACTAAGTCCTGGGAAAAATGGCTAAGCCATTTGGTTTGATAACCTCACCCACTTCCAGGTATGGAGAAGGAGCTCTACAGCAGTGATTCTCCAAGTATGGTTCTCAGATCATTGGGACAGTATCAGAGGGCCCATAAGTCTGTTTCAATGGCACTTTCAGGTGATTCCTCTCATATTTGAGAACCACTGAGTTCAGCATAAGCTGAAGGAAAGATTAGAAGTAGACTGGATCAAGAAAGTTGCATCAGTTAAGGATTTGAGAGTTGTAAACAAAAGAAACTGACTCTAATTTGAGCGAAAGGGAATTTATTAGAAGGATAGTGGGATTAAATAGCATTGGTGAAACAGCTGGAAAACCAGGCTTTGAAAGTAGCCAGAGCCAAAGCACTTTGAAAACACAGGCATGAGAGCAAATGAGGGACCATTTGGCCAGGGTGCTGCTGCCACCTGCTGCATAATTAACCACTGGAGCCATTTGCTGCCTTTTACCACGGCTTCAGAATCATGTTACACAGAGGAAGTGTGCTTTGGGTCATACACCTGCCTCTTAAGGAGAAAAAGGGGCACCTGAATTAATAGTTTCCCATTAGCTTTTACCCACTGGGAAGGATGTAATTCCCACAAGAGTGAATTATCTAGGTATTGGGAAAGAATAGATATAAAACAGTCAAAAGTAAAGATGACCTTCTGAAGCCTTTTTTGTCATGATTAGAAGTCTAAACATTATTTTTTTGGCAATGATTATTTACTTTTTATGATGGAAATTACATGATTATATGTCATTTAGTTTTGAAAATCCAATTTGCTCTCAAAATATTTCTTAAAAGATGTTCTCTATATGTGCTCCTAGAAGGCAGGGAATTTGCAAAATATTCATGTGGGTATTAAAATAAACCTCAATCATATTTTTCTAAAGACCAAACTGAATGTTCTCAGTGAAGATTAATTAACATTTGTAATTTAATTATACTCCTGCTACTTTGTTGTATAAAAGGTGAAGTCAAACACTGCCTTTAAAATGGCAGCATTTTAAATTACTGAGTAATGTCATAAAATATAGTTCTGAAACAATTGAGTAAATGGGATATGTTTTACTTTGTTAGATGATAACAGTGAATATAATAATGAATATTATAATGATAATCTAACTTAAATCTTTTTTTTTATGGAATGGGGTTTGAACTCAGAGCTTCACACTTGGAAAGCAAGTGCTCTACCACTTGAGCCATACCTCCAATCCATTTTGTTCTGGTTATTTTAGAGATGGGTCTTGCAAAGAATTGCCTAGACTGACCTCAAACCACTGTCCTCCCAATGTCAGTCTCTCAAGTAGCTAGGATTGCAGTCATGAGCTACCAATACCTGGCCTTATTTAAATCTTAAAGAATGAGTACCTAGTATACATAAGAGGGACAAAGGAGCAGTTAGGAATGTGCTGATTGTTCTTACTGATGTGAGTATGCTTAGCCCATATCATCTCAGACCATATCTGGACTCCATTACCACTGTTGAAATCCAAACATTATTGAAATGACAGATCTTCATACAAGAGCAAGGAAGAAAGTGGAATTAAACAATGTACTCTAACAAGTGGGGTGGAGGGTTTCATTCTAATTTAACATCATCCTTATCATTATCTTCCTTAGCTCAAGATATGTGTTGCTGATTGCAGTGATCTGCTTTTGGATGTGAGTGTAGTTTTGAGAGGCTCTGTACATGTGGTACAGCAGGCCTTTGCTCACAATTCACATGCTGTGTTAACAGAATCTAAAAACATGATGCAGGATCTCCTCTCATAGAAGCCAAATGTAGGTTCCAGATCGGTCATTTCCTGAGGAGGACCTGACCAGTCTCCACAGACACAGAATGTGACTACAAGTGTCATTTCAAGGGCATGGAGTCTTTTAAACATAGCAATACTGGTGGTCACACACAACTGCTTCTTTTTTAGGGATAAAATTCAAATAGACTTCTTTTGTTTGTTTTTATTAACTTTCTTGCTGTGTAATTAATAGTCACTCCATTTACTTCTTTTTCAGACCTTATGCCAGTATAAATTTGATTTTCTTCAAGAAGTATGTCAACATGAACATTTCATTCCATTATGTCTCCCCATAAGATCAGCAAACATTCCAGGTAATATTTCTCAGAGTTCTGCTCGGTTCCTACAAGTGAACAGTTTTGTTTGTTATTTTTTCCCAGTTCCTCAACCATGGTTTTTGTCTGAAGAGTCAGGTAATCAGATTAAAATACAAAGGAAAACGCTGGCATAGAGTTGATGAATACAACTCTTTATTTCTCCCTTACTGTCCTTTTACATTTTCATTAAAGAGAAAGCCAGCAAAATTTCAAACCTGGTTACTATAAATCAAAGAATTTTAACCCAGAGGCTTTCACCTAACTCCAAAAGATAGCTTTCCATTGATTTTGAGAGAGAAAAACCTCTACTTTATAAGTATAGTTTCACTTGAGATTATCAGTCAACGTGTGCAGTTATGTTGACATGTATTTTACAAAGAAAACGGGTATGTTGAAAGGAAGGGAGGAAGGGAATGAAAAATTATACATACTTGGCACTTCTAGGCCAGAGAAAGGAAGAAATTGGGTATAGCATGAAAAATGGAGCTTTGCATTATGTCTACTATACTTAGTATAGCATATTCTATAGGAAATATTTTCATTTGTTTTGTAAACTAAAAACATGTATGTGTGTTTGATGTGTGTACTTGTGTGTGTTGTGTGGGTGTTTATGCTGTGAGTGTTTTGTGTTATGTGTCTGTGTGATTGTATGTGTTGTACATGGTGTGTGTGGTGTATGTGTAAAAATCATGAGAAAGAAGGTTCAACATATATCTAGACATCAGAAACTAATCAAACATAAATCTACAAAGAAAACCCTAAAATGATGTAGAAGCATGAAATGCATTTCTAAGCAATGAGTAAACTATTCACAAAACACAGGGTTGATATTCTGAAAGCAGAAACTGAGAGGGTAAAGAGGCTACTTATACCTATGACAGCTTGCACTAATATTTTAGTAGGAATTTACATTTAAGTTTATACAAGTTTTGGTGCTTTAATCTTCAAAATAGTCTAGATACATTATCCCATTCTTTTTCTAGTGGATGAAGTGTATTACGTAGAAGAAAAAGTAGAAATTATATATTGGACAATAACATTTTTAGGCTTTGGTTTGTTTTGTTTTGAATTTGTTTTTATTTTGGCTGGGGTTGTAGCTCAGTGATGCAGTTTGCTTGCTTGCCATGTGCAAGGCCATGGGTTCTATCTACAATGCTACAAAAAATTGTCTTTGTTTTATAAATTAGTGTCAAGTTATAATTGTTTAGCTAGGCTGGCTAAGACATTCAGGTGGACCAAATCCTTATCTTGTCATTTTGCTTCCAACTGTTTACTGTTAATCAATAGCTCAGAAAAAGGCTTGATAATCTTTTTATATGTCTGGTACTACAATGAAAATAAAAATATGCTTCACAGCAAGCAAGCTATTGATCAGGAAATAGGTGCACAAATAGAAGGCAAAGAATTGAAATAATTCTGTTTATGACATTTTTTCTTAGGGAAACAAATAACTTAAGGTATTCTTGACAATGGTGTGGTTGCTATACATGTGTATCTGAGTATGTACATATCTGAACTTTTTGTTTATTTTTATTAAATCTAGATCCTTTGACCCCTTCAGAATCAATTCAAGAGCTACATGCCTCAGGTAAGTGACGATATTTTACATTACCTTACAAGAATCAATAGCCTCATCATCTACTAATTTGATGAGCAAAGATACTACAGATTTCCAGCTTTCAGGTGCTAATAAATAACCTTGTATTAGTATTATGTAATCAAAATATTCAAAAAGTTGAACTTTTCTCTCTTGTCACAGATAATTTGTGATTCTTTAACTTCAATTCTTTCATATTTTACTCTCCAGAACTTGAAACATTAATTCCCAAACCATCCAAAATTTTCTTAGTGGATATCACAAATAAAATTCCCAAGTGCCTGTAATGCATGCTTATTTAATGTAATGATCTTTCTGACCTTGTATAATACATTATTATTTACTACAGCTGCCATGCTGAATATCTGATATTCATAATGGATTCATCTTATAACTGAAAGTTTGTACTCGTGGATCAAAGCCCCACGTTTCTCTCATCCCTTAGTCCCTGGCAACTTTTTTCTATTCTGTTTCTATTAACTCTACTTTTTTAGAATCTACATAGAAGTGAGACCATGCAGTTTTGTATTTCTATTTTTATTCATGTAGCAAAATGTCTTCTAGTTTCATCCATGTTTTTGCAAATGGCAGAATTTTCCTCCTTTGAAGACTGCATTGTACTTTCTTTCTGTTTCCGTTCTGTTGAACATTGTACTGTTCATCTGTGGATGAACACTTAGGTTATTTTCATATCTTGGCTATGATGAATAAAGCTCTAGCAAACATGGGATTGCAGATATTTCTCCAAGATATTGATTTCATATCAAAAACACTAAAGAAAATAGGACATGATGTATGGAGAAAAGGAAACCCTAGTGCATTGTTGGAGGGAATGTAAGTTTGTACAGCCATGGTTGGAAAACCACATGGAGGCTCCTTAAATAGACAGAAATAGAACTGCTTTATGACCCAGCAATCCCACAATTTGAAATATATCCAAAGAAAATGAAATGAGTATGTTAAGGGGCCATCTACACTCCATGTTTATACAGCATTATTCACAGCAGCCAAGTGAGCCTAAGTGCTCACCAGCTGATGAATGGACAAAGAAAATGTGGCATATATACAAAATGGAATACTATTCAGTGGTAACAATGAAACCCTGCAGTTTGTGCAAGATAAATGGAATTGGAGGTTGTTATGGTAAGTGAGATAAACCAGGTACAGAAAGACAAGTACCACTTGATCTCACTTGTATGTGGAATCTAAAAGTAGTTAATCTTATAAAGGTTGAAAGTACAATGGTGGTTACCACAGGCTGGGGAGATATGAGGAAATGTCTATCAAAGGGTAGTAAGTGACAGTTCTATGGAACCAAGAAGTTCTGGTGTGCTCTCAGACAGTAGGATGACTATATAACATAGTAATGTGCTGTATATTTCAAAAAGCTAAAAGAAAAGATTTTGAAAGTTTTCACCATAAGTGAATGGTAAATGCTTGAGGAGAGAATTATATTTAGCCTGATTTAAACATTATACAATGCATACATGTATCAAAACATTGTACTGTACCTCATTAAATATGAGCAATTTTTATATCTTTATGTGTCGGTTTTTAAAAAACCAACAAGAAGAGCTGATTTCAGTTCCTTTAGATTTAAACCCAGAAAGTGGCCTGCTGGATAATAGAGAAGTTCTGTTTTTAGTTATCTGCGGAATCTCCATACTGTTTCCATAATGACTGTATCAATTTATAAGCCCACCAACTGTGTACAAGGGTTCTTTTTTCTCCGCACCCTCTCTAACACTGTTATCATTGACTTCTGATAATAGCTGTCTTAGCAGGGGTGAGATGATAGCTCAATGTGGTTATGATTTTCACTTCTCTAATTATTAGTGATGTACTTTTTCATGATTTTGTTGACCATTTTTTAGTTTTAGAAAAATATCTATTCAAGTCCTTTGCCCATTTTGAACCAGTTATTTGGTTTTTGTTATCAAGTTGTTTTGAATATCAGTCACCATGGCATATATGGTTTGTAAGTATTTTCTCACCATCTGTTGGTTGGCTTTTCATTTTTTTATTATTTCCTTCGCTGTCCAGAAACTTTATTTTGATGTAGTTTCGCTTGTTTATTTTGACTTTTTTGCTAGTGCTTTGGAGATCATATTCATAAAATCATCAGCTATCCCAATACCAAGGAAGTACCCTTCTTTATGGTAGGTGCTAGAAATATTATTAGTAGGCATACTCACAAAGCATGCTGGACAACTCTGAACGAATCCATTATTACTGAAAATTTTATCATTTTTCCTCCACATTTCAGGCTCACATTACTGCAGTCCTCTTTGACTTTTCCTCTCTTGTTGATCTTTCCCATCCTTCAGCCAACTTGTCCTGATTTTATTTCCACTGCTCAGTTCCTAGTTTCCTAGCCCACATACCATCTCTTCTTTTGTCTCCTCCTTTCTTTGTATCTCCCACTCCACATCTCCCTAAATGTCTAATTCATTTACATTTTGCCACCATCTGTCAAGAAAAGTCAAGAAAACACAGTGTTTCATAAGTCAAGAAAACACAGGTCTAATTAGTCCACTGATCTCAAAGCTGTTAATGTTATGAACATTTCCTGTAGAAATGCACAAGGTAGAGGGACCTAAGTGCCAGCTAAATTTCTCTGTCATTCAATCCGGATCTCTCTCTCTCAAACTTCGATTCTCACTGCTCTTCTTTTGGCCACTATGCTTTGTGACCCTCATATACCTCTGTTCCCCATGTGTCTGTGCTTTCAAAATTCTGTGCATTGAAAACCCTGCCCCTTCTTCTCCCAACCTCCTGTCCTAACTCCATTGCCTCATCTGCTCCCTCCAGTATCTGTGCCATCAGACATTTGGCATCCTCTTGTGCCCAGTTGGGCGTATCCCCTCCCATAACATTTCCTGATTCTTACAAACAGAAGTTTTTCTCTCTCATGATGCTGTAAACGTGTCATTTTATGGAACGTGGCCATTGACGTGGTATGTTAGTTTGTATTTGCACTTGCGTTTCTGTACACAAAGTGTTCTCCTGGCTTTTGGAACACTCCTGGAGGACATAAGGCATTTCATCTCTGCATCAAGACTGTATTCCCTCCTGCTGGTGGGAGAAGTTGATAGTAGTTGTCTGATTTTTCTTTTGAAAGTGATCATTTGATATTCAATAACCTTATTTCTTTTCTTTCCTTGCAAAGATATGCCTGAATATTCTGTCACAAACGAATTTTGCCGCAAACATTTCTTAATTGGAATTCTGCTCCGAGAAGTTGGCTTTGCCCTGCAGGAAGACCAAGATATCAGGCACTTAGCTTTAGCTGTCCTAAAAAATTTGATGGCTAAGCATTCATTTGATGATCGATATAGAGAACCAGTAAGTGATCTTCTTTTCTCCCTTCTCTAAACACTGTTTAATGGCTTACTGCATTAAATGCATATAAAACCTGCAAGCCTATTGATTTTTATGTGATTCATTTCTTCTGGCTATCTTTTCTTTTAGAAAAAGCAGGCCCAGATAGCAAGTCTCTACATGCCTCTGTATGGCATGCTGCTGGACAATATGCCGAGGATCTACCTGAAGGACTTGTACCCTTTTACTGTCAATACCTCTAATCAGGTAACTGTGTATTAAACACTTCACATTTCCAGTTTGATAAAGAATTCATCTTTTTTAGCCAGGCAATCATTGGCTCACACCTGTAATGCTAGCTACTTGGGAGACTGAGATTGGTAGGATCACAGTTCTAGGCCAGCCCTGACAAATAGTTTATGAGATGCCATCTCCAAAATAACCAGAGCAGAAATGGACTGGAGGTGTGGCTCAAGCAGTAGAGCACCTGTTTTGCAAGTTTAAAGTCCTGAGTTCAAACTCCAGTCCCAACAACAGAAGAAGTATCTGTCCTTTTTATATGTATGCTCTAGGTAACCATTTCTTCTCACCTGTGAGCAAGCACATCCATTAATTGATGTATTCACATCAATGTCATTGTTCGAGACTGCTAGCTTCCACTCTTCTCTTCATCACTGTTTTTAGTTTCCTCTGTTCTCAGTATCACCTTACAATTACAGCTCATGTGTGTTACCCTCATGACATTATCCTCAGTGTACATCTGTTCCCTGCCACTTTCTACATTGTCTGTATGCATCCCTAGTGTGAGTGTAGCCACGGCCTCATTTATAATCACAGCCCCAAAGTGGCCTATTATAATCACTCCTTCTCTGAGCCACCACAGCAACCACACAACAGCCATGAGCGCCATGGCCTGTGTGAAATCCCAGATAAGGAACTCACTCCTGAATCCAGGAACTGTGAAAGGAGGCCCAACCAGAAGTTAGGGCCATCCTTTGGGAATTTTTTTGGTGGAGAATCTTGTTTAAATCCCAGGAGTATCAACTATTGTCTGTGTGATAGTCAGAAAGTTACCCAACTCTTCAGTCCTTCATTCTCTCAGTTACACAATGGGATTAAATGCCTGTATTATAGGATCCTTATGAGGCTTAAATTGACACAGAAGTATTTAAAATCTAGTTGCAGTAGTAGTAATATACATAAGATAAACCATGATAGGAATTACATATATAATTTTTAATGTAATCAATCCATAACTATATCAGTAATCATACCAGTCATTTAGTCCATATCTTAAAGATTGTTTCTACTATATCATTTTTAAAAATCACATAAGCAAATCAAATCACAACTATGAGTATTATTTCAACTATATTCATTTTCACTGACTACTTTGACAGAAAACCTTTGATAGAATATAAAAGTTCAAATTAAATATCATCTAATTGAAAGTGTAATGAAAAAGGCATATGTGTGTTTACAAAGTTGAAATATCCTATTTCCCATTGTTCTCTTCTGCACTTTGAATGCAGGGATCTAGAGACGACCTAAGCACCAATGGAGGATTTCAAACCCAGACATCTATGAAACATGCAACCTCTGTGGATACATCATTTTCTAAAGATGTTTTGAATTCCATAGCAGGTACTCAAGATCTCTGAGAACACTTGTGTTTAACACTCATCCGTGTTTACATTGTATATCATTGTGCTTTGTATCCAATCCATAATTCATATGCATAAGATATCTGGCAAAGTATACATTTAAACAGCCAAAGAGTCTTTTTACACATTTCTTTGAATGTCATCCAGTAACTTCTACTTCTATAGTGTTCATTTTTACTTGGCTTAGGGCAAGAGTCAGATGTTATCAAATTACTTCATTCTGGAAAGAGTCTTTAACTTTTCATTGCATAAAGCCTTTTAAAATATAATAGCTCTCCAACTTCAAAGATTATTTTTAAGAACTCTTTTGCAAACATCACCTTAATTTCTCATAAACTGTCAAAAGTTGAACACTCCTTCCTCAAAATTATCTTTATGAGCTTTTACTAAAGCATTTTTACAGCAAGAGCTATCCTTTTAAAAAAATCTTAAGAGATCAAAAGAACAAACTTTACTTTATTTCAATTCATAATTGCTTTAATTTTCCTTCATCCTTAATGACCTCTGTAATGCTTAAAATATTCCATAGCTTTAATGCTAATCCCAGACTCTATTTTACAACACCATAGTGACCTCAAAACATCTTTTTGGTTCATCATCTGAGGTTTTGGTTTTGTTTTGTTTTTTTGGTACCCATACATCTCATTTCCATATGTGTGCTGTGGCTTGTGTTTACAGCATTTTCATCAATAGCTATTTCTACAGTAAACCATGCTGATTCCAGAGCATCTCTAGCAAGTCTTGACTCTAATCCCAGCACCAATGAGAAGAACAGTGAGAAGACGGACAACTGTGAAAAGGTACAGCTTCCCTTACAAGCACAGTAAGCATCATAATAACAAACTGGAAATCTCTCACTGTTCCTCAGTCCTCATTGGCTCTTTAATTCCCAGATCCCAAGACCCTTGTCTTTGATTGGGTCAACTCTTCGATTTGACAAGTTAGATCAAGCAGAAACCAGGAGTCTTCTTATGTGCTTTCTTCACATTATGAAAACAATTTCAGACGGTAAAGAGAACTTCAAATTAAATTTAAAAAAGAAAGAAAGAAAACTTTGCATTTCCAAGAGCCTCATGCTGTGTGGTCTTTCCTTCTAGAGACTCTGATAGCCTACTGGCAGAGAGCACCCAGTCCAGAGGTGTCTGACTTCTTCAGCATCTTAGAGTAAGTTTTAGGTTGATTCTACAACACTCTTCTCTAGAACTTGCAAAATAACTCACTATCTCACTCTTCATTCCAAGAATTTCTATGGCAAATTATCAATTGATAGTAATACATAAAATATGTAAAAAATTAATATTTTTCTTTCAATATGCTAAGATAAACAGTTCTATCTATATCAAAGGGCTTTAATAATTAAAATGTAACCTTTCTTCCCCTTCTAGTGTTTGTCTTCAAAATTTCAGATACCTAGGAAAACGAAATATAATAAGGTAATTATGTTAATTTCCAGTAGGCTAGTGTGGTCTTTTGAAAGCATTATGACATATATTAATGAATCAGCTTACATGTATAAATATGTGTTAGAAATCATAATACATAAATAAGGATTATTCTATGTCTTCACATTACACATAGAAGTTTGAAGATTGCCTGATACTCATAGTAGATCTAGGAATAAAATTTTCTGAGAAGAAAAGTTCAAAAACATACAAATTTCAAGAGGAAATTTTATCTTCTGAACTAATTAATACATCATTATATATGTATAAATTGGAAAATACTTATTTAAGAAAATATTTGCAGTAAACTAAAAACAAAATTAATCTGGAATTACTTGGTTTTGTCATCATTTTCTCACAAAGACAAGAAAGTCCACAGTACCTCAATTTACAATTTGCAGAAGATACTGAGATTACTTTTCATGAAATATAAAATATTTCATTGTACAGTAATTGTCAGCCAGTCTGTTTCATGTACCATTTATTAATGCTGAGCTATGATTCAAACTTCAGTTTTCCTTGCAGAAAAATTGCTGCTGCCTTTAAATTTGTTCAGTCTACACAGAACAATGGGACTCTCAAAGGATCCAATCCTTCCTGCCAGACATCAGGTCTCTTATCACAATGGTAACATCACATTTGCTTGGTATTTAAAAGTAGTTGTGTGTACGTGCATGTATACATATGTAAGGAGTGGACAAATATATATACGTACATTTCAAACCAAATGCAGATTTCAAGCAGCACTATTTATTTATCTGAAGATTTAGATAGTCCCCTAGCTACCCTACTTGCTTATGCAACCAAATAGTAAGGATTATGCCTTATTTATGTGCTCTTAGGGCACAGTGTCTTGCAAAGAATGAGCATTAATGAGTATTTCAACTGAACTAAACTTGAAAGGTACACACAATTCCAATAAATGCCTCTTACGAATCTCCTAGCAACAAGCAAAAAATTGGGATCATGGCTCCCTTTTCTGTTCGGTAATTATAATAGTTCAGCAATGTTCTTAAAATTAAAAGTAGTTTTAAAGGGTCAGAGGCAATGAGGAAGCATGAGGGCTCCATCACTCCCTTAAGATTTCCCAGTCATTAGATTGATTTGCCTACCTGCAGCCATCCTTCATTAGTCTTCTCAATGGGAAACATTTGCCTTGGAATTATACCTCAAGGATCCTCTTGAGGTATACACAATAATAAATAATAATGAATAAGAATTGTTTGCTAAAATTTTCCCCAGTTTGATTTATTCTTCCCAGAGGTATAATAATAATATACAATATGAATATTTCAGAAAGAGTTCTAGCAAGAAATATGAAAGTGGTAGATAGTCAATAAGTCATAGAATAAATTTTACCTCCATCCTTGGGGACCCCTTGATATTTCCCTCTAGAAAGAAAGTAAATTTAAAAAATGTAATGGGTGTGTTTTGCAAATGGTAATAGATTAGAGATCAGTAAAGAATGGCTTGCCACATTTAACAAGAATAGTTATTGTTAAATAATTATTATTATTATATTAATATAATGTTATTATCATTATTATTGTTAAATAACTATTATTATTGATTGGACTACACTTCAGGCTCCTCCTGAAATAGCTGGACAAGTTCTGCTCCTGCTGCCCCAACCCCCAATCTTGTAAAAACCAGGCTTTTCCTCCATGGGTTCCAGGCTGATACAGACTCAAAACCTGGGGAAAAAGAAGACAGTCCTGAACATTCAAAACCTGTATCTGAGAATGCATTATTCCTTATCTTTTCAGGAACAACCTAGACTTTCTGGGCTACTGAAAGCCCAAGTCATATCTCCAAGACCTTCCAGACCCTTTGATTTACCCAGATCCAGATAGCCTTGAATAATGTGACAAAGAGAAAACTCTAGCCTCTTTTTTCAATTTGACTCTTAAGAATGCTCCTATTACCTGCTTTCCTCACAGAAGTGTGTTCATGAAGAGTTTATATGTCAGCAAATACCTCAAGAATCATTAACCTATTCCTTGACCAAATGATAAAGTGACAAACTTTAATTCCTAATTGCATATGGACACTGGCCAACTTTTAGTTGGAAGTGTCATGGAGCATTGAAGAAAAGTCATTGTAGGCCATTGTCATTGACCTCTAATATCAATAACTAGCAGCACAGAGGACCCTCAATACTTATCTCTGCCACAATGATCACATGCCAGTTCCCCATGACATGATACAAAAGAATGAAATTCACAAGGAATTTCTAATACAAAGACAGAGGAAAACAAGAGTTGTTTTATTCCAGATTTTCTACTTTACCTCTTTAAAACCAACCTGACATAGCTGAGCTATAATACAGTATTGACCTTAATGTCCACCAACTGCCATCCAATAGCTAAGTTAACACTCATAAAATCTCATGATTCAATTAAATAATAATGAATTATTAACAAATTCAATTTGAATGTTATTCTACACATAATCCTTTTGAGTACTATTTTGGCTTAAATAAATTCCTTCAAAAGTCTTTCTCATTGTGTTGCTTATAACTAATATTTTTAACAAAAAGTTTCTCTGCAAATTATTATATTTCATTCAATTTATAGTAGTTGAGGGATTATTTGGTCATAGCATCCCCAAATAACACAACCACTGTTTTCATTTAATTTCCAGGATGCATACCTCTTCCAGTCATGAAGGGCATAAGCATCACAGATCACAAACTTTACCTATAATTCGAGGCAAAAATGCCCTTTCCAACCCCAAACTTCTCCAGATGTTAGACAACACCATGACCAGTAAGTAAATCAGAAATGATAGAGACAAGATAGTTGTCAGTTGTTCTCTAGGTATGTACAAGACTTGAAATGCATTACAATACGTGAGAAATGTAAGGAATGTTGTGCCAGTGAAACCACTGTTTTAATGTCTGTTATAGCCCTGGACATGTTTCTTTGAGAAAAGAATCGTCAGGGGGTGGTTAAGAAAAAATATATAGTAACTTTCTAGGGAAGCAAAGAAGAAAGGCAAAACTCTTATAGAAATGGGCTTAGTGCAAATAAAGTAATCTTAAACTGACAGAGGCCACTAAGGGGAGGTGACCAGGAAGTAGTGAAGAGGTCTAGCAGAGATGAACCAATGTGAGTTGTAATACACATGTGAATGGAAGCAAAGCTAGGAATCTCTCTGTATAACTATCTTTATCTCAAGCTAGCAAAAAGGCTATGTCTTTCTTATTATCTCTTATGTTTTCTCTTCAATAAAATTGGAGAAGAGGGTGAAACAGGTTCTGCCTGGAAGTGAGGGAGGTGGGGAGGGCAGAGGGGAGAGATGGCCCAAACAATGTATACACATATGAATAAATGTATAAACAATTTTAAAAAATAGATAGGCTCAGTGAACGTCCCTGGAAACAAGTGACTTTTGGTGTTGTGAGGGTTGGGGTCTCTCTTGATTATATTATTACTCTTAATACTGGAGAAGAAGATAAGTTTCCCATGCCCCGGAAGCAGTAAGCCTGACATCTTGAATCCAGAGATGCACACATTTCATCTTGTGCATGAGACAAAAATACAACCTGGTTGTTTTGTAGCATGCAAATGTCAGCAATTATGGGCATATGGCCCCTACAGTTACTTGTTTGAAGCTATGTGCCTTAACCTGTAAATACACTATGTGCCTTTCTGAGGTGGTATTTGTACAGACTGTCCATGTTTAGTCTATTAGCCCAGAAACATAAACCTTTAAACTGCCCAATTACAGAAGAAAAATGACTGTCAATGATGAATTAATGGAGAAGAACTAAGAAATAATGGGAGCGCTACAGCTGACATATGCAAAGGGCACACATACTAAAGACTGTCTGGTGTTTTTTAGTTCAACCAATAAGGAAATTGGACAAACAAAAGCACTTTGATTTAATAAATTATTAATCAAAATACCAGTAAACACAGGACACATTGCAAAGAATTGGCTTAGACACTTATACATCACTTTTTTTTTTTATTTTGTAGGCAACTCCAATGAAATAGATATCGTGCACCATGTAGACACGGAAGCCAATATAACCACAGAAGTTTGCCTCAGTATTCTAGACCTGTTATCCCTCTTCACTCAGGTTCACCAGGTGAATATAATAATAACATTTTCTGCAAAATGGAGAAATGGAAGATAGGAAAAGTCATATGAAGTCAAGAGCATGTTTTTAAGATGATTTGGGAACTCAATTAAACTTACATAAATCAACTTACATGTCAGTTAAAAGCATGTTGAAGATGAGATTTAGGTTTTATCACAGGTGGACTAATGCTTGCTTGATATGCATGCCTGTGTGTTTCACTGTTGTCAAATAATAGTCTTCCTTCCTAATTTCTCTTGCTTTGCTCTCAGGCATGCTGGGCTGAATAAGAATGTGACTCTATTTTTTCAATAGAAAAGACAAAGACACAGGGTACTATGTATTAAATTTTAATAGGAATTTACTAATTTTGAGCACCTTTTGTGTGCTTATTTGCCATTTGTATATCTTTAACGAATTGATGTCATTATGTACCTATTACAATTGCTGATGTTAAAAAGACTGACCATACTAAGTTTTGACAAGATATAGAGAAACCAGAATTCTCATTCACTGACCATGGGAAGAAAAAATGGTAAAGACACCATGGAAAACAGTATGGAAGTCCCTTAAAAAGTTAACTGTATACTTATCATGTGACCAGTCATTCCAGTGTTAGGTACTGACCCAGAAGAAGTGAAATCATATGTCCATCAAAAGGTTTGTGTACAAATATGCATAACAGCTTTATTTTCAGTATCAAAAAAAGCCGAAAATATAGTAATCTTAAACTGGCAGAGGTCATTATGGGAAGGTGACCAGGAAGTAGTAAAGAGGTCTGATTAGAGATGAACCAGTTTGGGTTGTAATACACTTGTGCATGGAAGCAATGCTAGGAATCTCTCTGTATAGCTATCCTTATCTCAAACTAGCAAAAACACTATGTCTTTCTTTTTATTGCTTATGTCTTCTCTTCAACAAAATTGGAGAAGAGGGCAGAACAGGTTCTGCCTGGAAGTGAGAGGATGGGGGAGAGGGAGGGAGCAGGGGGCAGGGGGGAGAGATGGCCCAATATATGCACATATGAATAAATAATCCCCCCAAAAAAGCTGGAAACAACCCAGATGTATCCACAAGTGGATGGATTTTAAAAAATTGTGACTTGGTCACACAATACAACACTACCCAGCAATAAAAAGAAAGAAACTACTTGTACAGGCTACAACAGGCATGAAGCTTTAAGAAGCCAGACAACAAAAGAACATATACTGTGTTATTCCATTTGTGCGAAATTTTAGAAAATGAAAACTGTAGAAACACAAAACAGATCAGTGGTTGCCTAGGGATGTGAAGGAAGTATAGGAAGATTACAAAAAAATTTTTTTAACTTTTGAGAGTAGCAGATATGTTCATTTTCTCGATTGTGGTGATGGTTTCATGAGTACATAACAATGTAGAACTCATGAAATTGTACACTTTGAACATGTGCAATTTATTATATGTCAGTTATACCTCAGTACTGCTGTTGAAAATATTTGCATCTCAATCAAATGACCCGATATTAAAGATTCTGCCAGGAAAAGTCAAATCTATTGAATAAAGTCTCTATGTCCAACAACATTACATGAAGAAAGCCCTGTTTTCAGGTGAAATGTCAGCATGGTGGTTAAAAAAGCAAAACTATATTTTATTTCTTAATGGGTATGGGGCTCACATCAGTACAAGCATTTCAAATGCTTTCTCAATGCCTATAAACCCTGCCTATCTGTGACCTCATATTCTTTCTCGCTCCTGAATCCACCCCACTTGCCATGCACCAGTCACTCTGCTTTTCTTTCTCAACCTTGAACTCATGAGCTTGTCTCCATTCTGAGGCTTTTGAACCAGCGGTTTCTCCCCCTTGGAACATTCCTCCCAGATACATCTGACACAGGGTCCCTCAGCTCATGTGTCCATTCACTCATTAGAGAAGTCTTTGCTGACCACCTTGCCAAAGTACTCTACCCAGAGCGTAACTTCGTATCACATCGTTCTACTTTATTGTCTTATTTAGTCACTTTTTTGGTCACTGCTATGTAAATTTCAGTGGGAACATGAACCTTGTTTTCTTACTCAGTATTTTTTTCTAACACCCATAATTGGGCTTACCACATAATAAATATATGTGAGGGAATCCCAGTGTTCTTTCTCGTATTCTAAACAACACCTATGCTGATTTCCAGAGACAACTCCAACAATCTGACTGTCAAAATTCACTGATGAAAAGGGTCTTCGATACCTACATGCTCTTTTTCCAAGTCAATCAGTCTGCCACAGCACTGAAGCACGTGTTTGCCTCTTTGAGATTGTTTGTATGCAAGGTAAGGATACTCCAGGATCAAGTGAAATTTCAATTTAAAAAAATGATAATAATCACATAATAATCTTTGCATCTCTCAATGTGCAGGTAAGTAGACTTGTTTTTTTCTATTTTGGTTTTATTAGCTACTGATTCCTGGTCTCAAAATGATTTGATACTCTGTATGCTTGGATATCAAAAGGAAATAAAATCAGGTCACCAATTCTTTGGGTTCTTAGTGTTTATAACATAGAAAAGTAAAAAGTGTACCTTCATGTGCCATATCCACCATGTCAAGTTGAAGGTGCCATATGACAGTAGCCCCACCTTGAAGACACTTGTAAATAACACACGTGATTTTGACAATGTCAGAGGATATTTCAAAGTTGTCACTCAGGTACTTCAGAGTTGTCATCAGTTATTGATACAAAGCAATACTTACAACTTAGAGAATAAGTATTTCTAGGAAGAATATAGAATACTAAATCTAGACTTAAAAAGTTATGTCTCCCTTCCTTGCAGATAGAATAAGGGTAGCTGGTTTTTATTTTTTAAAAAAGAAGGTTTTTTTAAATATGAGAATTATCAGAGCAAAATGAAGGCACATTGCTCACCCCACCCATTCTTCCATTTCCCTAGTTTCCTTCAGCATTCTTCCAAGGGCCTGCTGACCTCTGTGGATCATTCTGCTATGAAGTCCTAAAATGCTGTAACCACAGGTCACGGTCAACTCAGACTGAAGCCTCAGCACTTTTATACTTCTTCATGAGGAAGAATTTTGAATTTAACAAACAGAAGTCAATTGTCCGGTCCCACTTACAAGTAAGTGCTACCAATTTTCATTAATGCTAATCTGTTCCAGCAGTGATCAAAGTCTCTGATCCCCAGACAAGGAGTCACCAACTCCTCCCTCCACCAGACTCCTCTTTGAAGAATGCCCATCTGAGTTAGTCCTGGTTGACAGGACAGCACAGCTGGTCAGAGATCAGCAGAGCCCATATCTCCACTAGTATTTCCCTTTCTTCTGCTGGGAATTCATAGAATAGACAATCTGGTCAACCATGGCTAGCTCCAGGAGGCCAAATTCCACCACTTCTCAAAGTCATTCCATGGTTGCAAGATTTCTGCATCCTTCCTCAGGTATTTACTATTACAGGAAGTGCCCTAGATTGAATGGTCTTCTGAAGATTTAATACGTAAAGAAGCCATCCATTGGACTTTCAGAGAGAAATTAATGACACATTAATCCAGTGTGGTAAATTTCTTTTGAAATATTACTTCTCATTTTGCTTTAGGGGATTAATTTTTCTTTTTTCTTTCAGCTCATCAAAGCAGTAAGCCAGTTAATAGCCGATGCTGGAATTGGAGGCTCTCGGTTTCAACATTCCCTTGCAATCACCAATAATTTTGCCAACGGAGACAAACAAATGAAAGTAAGAAATGGTTTGTGGGCTTTTACTAAATAACCAGAAATAAACTGAAGTGAATTCTTCCTGTGAGATATCAAAATTATTAAAAGTATATGAATTCTGCACTTAGTTTCTTGAGACTTTGAGCATTTATGTTAACTTGCTTTATTTAAATTGATAATTAGCTCTTACACTTTCTGCATATGATCTTTCAAGTTGAATTTCCAAGATGAGTGGTTGAACAGTATATAACAAGATTTACCATAAATATCCTGAAATAGTGATTCACTTATAAACATACTCTTGACAAATTCATCTTTCCTTTCTCATTCAATAATACCAATTAAAGTCTCTAGAGACTGTTTCTTTGATCCACCCACATACCATATGATTGTCCCCAAGCTAATCACTTGGCCTTGGAAATCAAAGAATATGATTGGGGCCAGAACATATGCCTCCCATGGTGCCTAGGAATGAAGTTAGTCTTACTCAGATCACATGAACTAGAGTCAGGGAGGACAGGATGTAAGGGACAAGCAAGATGTTGGCTAGAAGAAGGTAGGCTAGATGATATATACAGACCTGAAATACCAAAGCAAAACCCCATTGGACTATCAATATATACTTAATGAAAAATAATGAAGAGCAGGAGGGAAAAATAAATCTTTTCTGGGATTTGTTCCAGTGGGAGGGGGGTGGGCACAAGGAAAGGGAAAATGAGTGTGTATATGGTAGTATATTTTGTATCCATATATGAAAATAGAAGAATGAAGCCTGTCGAAATTGTTCTAAGAAGGGGAATGTGGAAAGATTGTTCTAAGAAGGAGAATAATGGAGGGAGTAAATTCAACTAAGATGTAGTTTAAGCATATATGCAAATGTCACAATGTAGTCCCCTGTACAGCTATTATATGCTAATAAAATTGTTTAAAAAAAAGAAGGTAGGCTAGAAGACAAAAGAGTGGTCTACTACGATTCCTATCTCTAGATGTGTATACATATCACAATATACAGAATGCACACATTTATGAACAATATATAGAATACAACAAACTGATGCCAAGCTATAAGTAATAAGCATAGCTAAACATTAACAAATGAACTCAATATAGATAATGACCCAGGCTCTCTCTTTTCCAAAGAATAGCAATTTCCCAGCAGAGGTGAAGGACCTCACCAAACGTATAAGGACTGTTTTGATGGCCACTGCTCAGATGAAGGAGCATGAGAAGGACCCTGAGATGCTGGTGGACCTCCAATACAGTCTGGCAAACTCCTACGCAAGCACCCCTGAACTGCGGAGGACCTGGCTGGAAAGCATGGCCAAGATTCACGCAAGAAACGGAGACTTATCTGAGGTGATTGGCAAAGGCTCCACCCATTCACTATCACCATAGTCCTCTTTATCAGGATGATTGAATTTTCACCTAAACTATAAACGTTCCATATTTTTCAACTAATGTATATATGACCCAACAATATATTATAACCAGTAGGTTTGCATGTGAAATTCAAGGGTCTCCTGACTCCAAGTAAATGATATCAAGTAAGAGCCAGACTCAGTAAGGGCAACAGAACTTGTATGAAATGCAATGCAGGACTGCATGTTAAAATCTTGAAGCTGAGGAGGATGGTAATAACAGTGTCTGGAAATTAAGAGTAATATAAATTAATGTCCTATGTTTTCAAACTCCCCTGCAATTGGAGTTGAGTGGGGGAACTTGCTACATGGTAAGTAAGTGAGGTTCAGGCAGAGGAAATCTAACCTCATTGCAGCTAGTCTGAACTGGTTATGGAGACATTAATAGTCCTTAGTATCATGTGAGGACAGTCCACAGTGTGAAGTTTAAAAATCAATAAATACCTAACTTTTCTATTTCACCTTTACCACTTGATGAGTTTATATGCAGCAATTCGTAGTGCCCAAGGGCTTTTTTTACCAAATGTGAAGGTTCTGCCCAAAGCTATGTCTAGGATAGTCTTAAAACGTGAAGTTCTTCTGGTAACCAGGGACTCTGAAACAGAGGACAGAAGCCTGTCTTGGCAACAATTCGGTGAGGACAAGAATGAACAATTCCAAATTCCTTGGACTGCTCTGAAATTGGTGAAATCCCTCCATTAGACCTCATAAGGACATTTGGAACCAACAAGTCTTAGTATGTGTTTGGCAAAGCTCAAAGCTTTGTAAGTGATATTAGAAAAAAATAAAATACCAGTGTCATCTGGTGTGGCGGTAACCCTGTTACACCAGGTCACACTGTTTAATGATGTGCTAAACTTGAGAGGCACCATTTTAAAGACAATGGAAATTCAAAAAAGAACCATCACTGGAAGTAGAAAAGCGTAGAAGGAAAATTTTTATTTTTGATTTCTGTCTAAACACTAGAGTTTACACTTTTCAGAAGAAGAGACCTGTGGACTTTTTAAAATCTAGGCTTACATATTAAGGAAAGAAGGTAATTCTGTGGTAAAATTCTTCAAGCTAGATCATTCATCCATTTCAAAATTATATCCATAACAACAAAAAAATAAACAAAATCCCAAGTACTCATTTTATTCTTGATGGTGATCTTTTTTGGATATCCAATTGATTTGAATTTTTAATCCTGCCAGTACAAAGAATTCTTCTAAATAACATATCCTGACACTGACATGGAATACTGACTCCCCTTGGAAGACCAGTCCTAATTAGAGGAAGAATGAAATCCATCCTTTGAATCTTTGTTCCATTCTTGTTACAGGCTGCTATGTGTTACATCCATATAGCTGCACTTATCGCAGAGTATCTGAAAAGAAAGGGTAAGATGCTGGTGGCGGGTGGGGGAGGAAGTCCAGAAATCCACATGTTGAAACTAAAGATTAATTTATTAACTTTACACTTGATTAATCTTAGTTATGTTGCATTAAGTAACATTCACTTCCACAGGTATTTCTCATAAAGCTGTACTTTCAGTTTTTACCTATCGTGCCATTAGCGTATTTATTATGTGTACAGAAAGGCTAACTGGACAGTCAGTTTCTCAGTTCAAACTGAGAATGTCTCATTGATTAACAGTTTGTAGTTTCATAAGCTTTTATTGACAAAAACCTGTGGCCATGTCTTAACCTCATCTTGCACTACCATAGGTTACTGGAAAATGGAAAAGATTTGCACACCATCCCTGCTCCCAGAGGATACCCTTCCCTGTGATAGCAATCCATTACTAACAACTCCGGGTGGAGGAAGTGAGTGACCTAACTGTGCTTGTTCACACCTAGTGCAAAGGAAATCAAGTTGCTGCTTAAATTTTGCTTCAATGAAACCTTCTTAAACCTACTCTTGGAAGATAAAACTACCTCAGACCTACAGAAATAACTGTGCAAAAACCTTATGCTTCTGCCATTCACAAATCCCATCTGAAATGTATGAAGTTTAGAGTACTGAAAAGTTCTCAGCAAATAGAGCTGTGTATTATCCAGTCTTCAGGATGATGAGTTATGGCCATATTTAGCTACCAATATATGTGCCAGTCTGCCATTGGGATTTTATTCTGAAATCAATGAATTATTTAAAGTTGCAAAGGGAATCTATTTTAATTTGTAAATGAGATAATATTATTCAAAATAAAAATATGCATATGTATATATATATATGTGTTTAATTACCAAGGGAATACTATTATAAAATCCAAAAAAGTATAGTTTTTAAAGCAAGGATTAGGTTGCAACAGTTATTATAATTATAACTGCCAGCCTGCTTTGAGAGTGATAATTTCATTACATAATGAGCTGATTATTAAAAATTAAATCATCTCATGACAGTATGAACTACAAGTCAGAAAGAAAGCACTCACCATATGGAAGGCACTGCACTGAACACTGTACAAGCAGTATCTCAGTTAGTTGCCAATAATAAGACAATAAGCTAGGTGCTTTTTATCACTTTGTGTTTCTGCATAAGAAAGCTGAGAGAAGCAAAATAATCTGTCCATAGATTAGGGTTGGCTGGTGATGGAGCCAAAGTTCAAGAACTGGTCTGTCAATGCAGCCTGTAACCCGAAGTACTCACCATTACCATCTGATGCCCCTCCTATGTAATGGGAATGGGAATATTACTCAGTATTGACTAGGTTCTCTCTTTCTCTTTCTCTCTCTCTCTCTCTACCTTCCTCCCTCCCTCTCTGCCCTCCCTGTCTCCCTTCCTTTCTCTCTTCCCTCCCTCCCTCCCTCTATCTGTATGTATCTACACACACACACACACACACACACATAGTATATATACAGAGAAAGCCAGGTCTTTTTAAGCTTTTCTAGCCAGGATACTAAGACTATTTGAGAAGGTTTCTAGTAATACAAAAGGGTAAAAAGTTAGGAGTATTAGGCATTAACTTTACAGTGCTCTGGTGGTACCAGATGTTTACTTAAATATTAATGTTCTGAATCCTCTCAGCATCTTTTGAGATAGATATTCATGCCTCCAATTTAACAAAAGAAGGAAACAGCCTCAATAGTTAATCAAACCAGAGAATTAGAATAATGTCTACCTATGTTCTGTCCACAATCCCGTACTAGCTCTTTATAGAAAATGTGCCGACTGAACATGACGCAAAAATTATAAATGGGGGAATTCTGACTGACTGACAGAGAATATTTTTCAATAGCCATAATCCAACCATCTTGTTGGTTTGTGAGTGTTATAATACTACCATTTGTAGCACCAAGAAGGAAGTGATTATATAATCCAGGATTTGCCTAAAACAATATTTTGTTTTGATTGATTTTCATAAGGCATGTTCTCTATGGGATGGCCAGCTTTTCTGAGCATCACACCAAATATTAAAGAAGAAGGAGCAATGAAAGAGGATTCTGGAATGCAAGATATACCATATAATGAGGTTAGACCAAAGTGATCTAATTTATGGTGATTGAATAAAAAGATACATTGAATTGTAATATCAAGCTTTTTCAAAAGTCAGATAAAGTTACTCTGTATTATGATTTCATGAAGAAAACTAAATTAAGGGTAAAATTAAGCCAAGATCAATAGATATCATATTCCATTGATAAAGCATATTTTTCAACAAAAATTTAAGCTAAGCATTCTTTACTACTCTAAGATGACCCTAAATGTACATGGTCAGCTCTTCTATAAGACCTGCAGCTTCTAGTCTTTTGGTAAAGGTGGTAAAAAGATGTTAAAAATTTTATGAGCTGGTCACAGCTTTTTTTAATGCATTAGCAGATTTATTTATATATGCACTTGAGCCAAAATGGTTCACAAGTTTATACAGAAGAACTTTCTGATATGCAAAGTGTGGTTATTTGTCATTAATCAAAAAAAAAGAAGATTTCTACTGAGAATTATTTAACAACAATTCTGGTGAAGAAAGCAGAGTTCCCCCATCAAGGAATAAAACATTTCATTTGATATATTTTTTTTAATCTTATTATTACACAGGTGTTATTAAAAGGACATGGAGTGAAAATTTGGGGAATAGACTTTGGTGAAATTTTACTTAGTGTATATTGCAACTAATATTAATTATTAATTATTTCTAATAATGTTTAAGAACTTGGTCTTAAAAGACATTGTTGGAAACATTCCAAGAGGATTATGCATTTGCTTTAGAGATTGGATAATTTGATTTAGTTGAACATATTTATTAATTCATATACCATCACTCTATGTGAGATATTGGCGCTAAGGGCTGGAAATAATAAATAAGGCATAGTTTCTGCTGTTAAAGAATTTAGAATCTTGAGACAGACTTCCTTTAGGGTGGGGAGTGGCCAATTAGAAATAGATGTCCAATAGCTATAAATCGAGGCATGATATATCATTGCAATTAAAAAGCAAATAATTTTTACATGAAACTGGTTAGAATAGGGATGAATGGGAATAAATAAAAGCTCTTCATACTTTTGCACTGAATAGGATTTGAAGGCGTGAAATGATAAAAGAAGGTTCTTATAGGTTCAACAATAGCACAGGAAAGCATTGAAGAGAGACAGTATGGTGTGGCCAAAGTGCACAGTCAAGGCAGATGCTGAAAGAAATGTTGGTGCCTGACTGTGGGGCTCTTTGAATACCAGGTTAGAGAGCAATACACAGACTGGATTTCCCACAAAGGTTTATAGAGGTGGAGCTCTCATTATCAGATACTTGTTTTAGAAAGAAAGATTTCCAGAGAACAGCAACTAGAGAGAAAACAAGAGATGTGCTAGAACTGTTGTGACATCTGGGCCAGTAGTTAGGATGATGTTAAAGGAAAAGGAAGAGTCCAAGATGATGCTATGATCTCTTGCTGGGTTGTAAATGCATATAACAAAATAGGGAATCCATTAAGCAAATGCTTGATGATGCAACAGTTGAGAATGCAAGTTTCAGGAATGATGTACAACTTTTATCATGTAAGATCTCGCTTTTTCTGTGGGAATTGCAGAATATCCTGGTGGAGCAGTTGTACATGTGTGTGGAGTTTCTTTGGAAGTCTGAGCGATATGAACTCATCGCTGATGTCAACAAGCCCATCATTGCTGTCTTTGAGAAGCAACGAGACTTTAAAGTATGTATTCTATACCCCTAGAAGCTGTTTAAAACATTCTACTTTAAGTTGTCAGATTACTTAGAGTTTTAAAACTCTTCTTATGTTAGCATCATCTCCATAAAACCCTTTGGTTTATGATTTCAGAAATTGTCAGATCTCTACTATGACATTCACCGATCATATCTAAAAGTAGCAGAAGTAGTGAATTCAGAGAAGCGGCTTTTTGGTCGCTATTATCGTGTGGCATTTTATGGGCAGGTAAGTTCACTAGAGGTAACCTGGTTTGTAAATTCTGTTGAATATGTTTTTTCATTCTTTGTAAGATGTCTGACTATAAGTTCCAGTGAAGTGAAGGGGTGGAGGTATGTCTGAGCATATTCAAGTGTTTCTTCGGATGTGAGGGTCTGTATGCACTTGCCAACAGGAATGTACTCAGTTGAGAAATAAATGTGCAGAGAAATCCATAAGACTTAATACAAGCTGAGCTTAATAAAACTGATTTCTAACTTCTTGGATGTATAGGATGCTTATTTTTCAGCGTTCTCTTCTTTCTGGTTTATCCCCCAAATATCTAACTATAGGTTTATGTAATAAAGCATATCAAATTGAATATTTTAAGAAATGACATTCATAGCATTCTAGGAAATAAAAAAATCCCCATGGATGCCACCATTTCAAACCTTTAACCTTGCAATCATGCAGTTCCTTTTCTCCATTCTGAGTTCACCACTGTTTCTAAGCAGAACATTATATGGCTATTCTGTCTCCTGTGTTGCAGGTCAGCGTAATTTTAAAAATCGTTCTAAATTTACTGCATAAGCAATAACAAGACTGAAAATCTTAGCTAACCATAGTATGGTGGTGAAAGTGAATTTGTTACGTATTAATTATGAATGTCTCTTCCTATCAGCATTTTAAATGGACGGACCCAGGCACCATCCTTCTTTTCAGAAAAGCTTATAACATTCTTCTATTCCAGCAGAAGTATTTTAGACTGTTGAGCCTGTGGATAAACATGCCAGTCTTTTATTTTCACAATTGAAATGATTATCAGCATCTTACTTTCTTCCCTCCCACCCCATCATGTGAAGTGTTCCTCCACCGTGGTCATTACAGATCACTCCCCACTGAAGTCTTCTGAAAAACATACATGTTTCTGTGCTCACAAAAAGCAGGCTTAATATTAACTTCCAAATTAATAAAGCTAGATTCTCTCTACCTTGGAAAGGAAATTATCAATGAATAGTGATCTACTATAGTCAATTTAATCCCACCTGGATTTTTCTTACTTCACAGCAACATCAGAAAGGTGGAAATAGAGAAACCTGGTGGTGTGAGAAGAACATAGTCTATTGGAAAAAGCTAAATGTAGAGATTGGAGCAAAGAGGTGGGGGGAAGAGATCCATGGACAGGAATCTGAACTATCTGTGTAAGTGTCCATTGAGAAAGAAAGAAGTGTGGGGTCTTCAGGAGAGGAGGAGGGAAGAGAGGAAATAGTACCCAAGAAGCTATGTAAAAACTACACAATTTGTGATCTTGGTGAAGCATTAGCAAGAAAAATGCAAAAGGCCCATCCAGAAGGGGATGTAAGCATTGGAGTATAGAAGATGAAAGCCAAGGCTTCAAGGGAGATGACCACAGGCTAACTGAGCAGTAGGCAAGTGGTGCACACAGTGTGTGTTTAGCTAAGATGAGACTACAACTCTTCAGGTGATCTTGCCAATGAAAGGGTAATGAACTCCCACTAATACCTTGGTCATGAAAACCAGGTTGCTACATGATGGTTTCTCTAACCAGTATTTAAAATACAGTTCATTAAACAGGTGGAAACAAATCTTGCTGCTTTCCAACTAGTTTTTAATGCAGATGTTTACTCTTTTCTTCTTTTGGTCTTGGTTGTTCCAGGCTGTGGTAAGTTCACTCTCTCTCTCTTTCTCTCCATTTGCATGCTCTAATAATCCTCACACTTCCCTCGTGTGGTTTTACTGAACCTTAACATATTTGTGCAAATCAACATTTGGTACAAAGGATGAAATAATCCTGCTTCCATTTATTTTGAAGTCATCTTGCATTTCTTGAACTAAATTGTATTTATTCCAGTTATCTGAATTACAAAAATGTATCTTTTCTTTTTCATTTCTATTATCTTTCTCCATAAATGTAGAGATATAGTCTGAAAGCCTTACACACACACACACACACACACACACACACAGAAAGAGAGAGAGAAAGATAAATATGGACGTGAAATATGTTGCATAAATATAGAGTAGAGTTAGTATTGGAGATTGCCTGCTTATTTCAGGCCACTATGAGTTGCAGCTTATTAAGAAGATGAAGGTGATCAAAATTTCAGAAGTTGGCATAAAGACTTTTGATGGGCACCTTCCCAAAGCCCTGCAAAGACCTTCCTCTTTTCCAAGGAGCATCTTGGAAAGATGGGGCTCTCTATGGTGGTGGACTCTGAGCATTCTCAGAGATGATGGCATCAATTCCCAAAAAGATAAGCAGGGTAATAAATCCTCACCTATTAGGTAATATATCCAGAGATTCAAAAAGAAGCAAGGTAAGATATTTGGAAAATAAGCCAAGCCAAATAACCTACCCATACCTACACCTCTCAGAAAAAGAAGAACCTTTTGAATGACATGAAATTGCCTCTCTTTAACCATTTTTACCTACAAAATGGAAACTTTATATGGTTTTCCATCATTATTATCCATTAAGTGAGGAAAAAAACCACTTTCTTCACTATCCACATATTCAGCTCTACTTACCTGACCATTGCATACTTTTTTGTAATTCTTTAAATTCCTTCCTACGTCTATACCATATGGGTACTTTCTACCTTCATTTATAAATTTGAGCTCATGAGTCCTTAACTTACCTACTAAAAGAATCCTTGAAAACCCTTGTACTAAATAGTCTGAGGGGGCCACGGGGAAGGAATGGGAAGAGCTACTTTCAATGACCTGACTTTGTTCTTTTTTCAGATTCCTTAGTAAAGGATTCCTTAGTGCTGATGGTGCTCCTCACTGTTTTTTAATGCTGCTAAGACTAAATTTTCTTTGATAAAAATTTTCAATCTGAGCTCAAAAGGCAAAGTATTTTGTTAAATGTGCAGACCTGAGACTACATCTAAGTATGGCCTTCCATAAACTCAACCTTCAGCTGCCTGTAAACAAAGAGAACAGGTGGAATTTGTCCTGGTAAACAACAGATTAGAGCCTCAAATGATATTCAGATGCCTGTCCCAGAGCACAAATGGCAAGCATGAACCATGGTATTCAACAGGAGCATACAGTTCATATCCTGCTATACTTGGTGATAAATAAATGCAAAATAAATTTGAACATCCTCCCAAATATGTGCAGAATGAAAGTTCCAAAGGTCTAAGATGAAATCTCACCTATTAGTGTAATCCTCGCAGTCAGAAATAATTTCTTACTTATCATGGTGCTGCACATCCCTTTAGCACTCACCTTTAACATCCTCATTGATGTATCTTCTTCAAAAGTTTATGGGGATATAATTGCCTCTGCCTCCACAATGGCCTTTGAGTACATATTTTCATGTCCTGTGTGGACTAGCACTTTCATTTTATCAAATGGCTTTGGGCATTTAATATTAGTTGTGTCTGCAATGAGCCAGACATTAGAAAACAAGTTGAAAACTGTTCTTCCACAGAAGGGGCTTTAAAAATGCAAGTCTTGCACAGCATAAGGTTTCTCTAACACAGCTCATGGTATCGTTGGCTCTGGAAATTTTACACATAGCTCCTTCATAAAGCATTGCCCAGGTTCCCTGAGGGATTCCTTTCCAGAGTAATGAAACAGCAGTGCTGATCAAACATCCTCTGAAATCAATGAAATTCTTAGGGCCTGGTATTTAGCATGAAAGTAAGCAAGTAAGTGCCCAGTGCATAAGTTTGAAGATCAGATACCTCTGGAATTCATTAGCTGAAAGACCTGAGGGAATTTTATTGTATGCATCAAAGACAGAGATGCCATGACTCCAGCATTCCCCTTGAGTGTAGATGTGTCTCAGAATCTGAATAGAAAAGAACTTGGGGGAAGGACGGGAGGTGCATGTGTGGTTCAAAAACTGCCATCTCCACTTTGGCATGTGATATACCCTTCCAGCTCTGCATGGATCTGAAAGTCACTGATCTTGACTACATATAAAAATATGGAGTCAGACATCATAATTGAATTCATATTTACCTGGAACCATTTCTCTGTATTTTTATAGCTTCTCTTGAGGCATTTAGCCTATTGTTAACATTTTCTGACCTATTTTTGCTCACTAGATTCCTCTTGGAATGCATTATTTTGTTTGTGAACTTTGTTTCAGTCAAATATAATAGCAGGGACACTTATGTTTGTCATTCCAGTGATGATTCGAGGACATTGCAAGATTCTGAATATATACAAGAACATCTAAGGAGTCAATGGTTTTAGTTGTCAGTTTATCGTAGCACATTTTTATCCTGATTAATCACCTTGAGTTTTGATAATCTATGCATATTAACTCTACTGACTCAAAGTCCTTATTTAAGTAGAGTGTGCTATTTCTACAACAGATGAAGACTTTTGTTGCATGTAAATCACATTTTAAAAAATCAAACTAACCAAGGAAATGCAAACAGATGCCTCATTTCCCACTGCCTTGAAAGGCAGCCCATTCTTAACCTTGGAGCTAGAGCAAATGGAAAACTGTCCCTGGATTTTCACACCTGTGTTCCATTCATAAATCATTTATTCTATAGACAAAGCTGGAGTTATAAGCCTTCCTTCAGATAATGCCCTGTAGCTCAGTGGGCTCTGCCTTTATGGTTTCCCTAGATGAAAGGTAGGCATGTATTTCCATAGTTGCCGTGAGTACTTCCAAAAGCACCTTACACAAATTCTGGCAGACAGGTTAAATTCTTTATTCTGCTATACCACTCCTTCTTACTCATGTTATTAAACAATCTCTTAAAAAACAAGTTCCAATCATTGCTAATCATTTACCAAAACATTGAAATACTATAAATAGATTTTTTTAAATAAGGAAGATTGTAGCTCTGATGCAAGTTTCACAAGCTGAAAGTATATATTTTTCACCACTCAAACCTGCACTAAGCTGTTTATCTATATATAAGTCAGAACTCAAATTGCTTTATGGACCTGGAATTTTTCTTCATTGTTACCATCATCATCAAAGCTAAGATTCCCAGTATACCAGTCTATAGGTCCTCCCAATAGGTTCCTGAGTCTGTATCTTTCCCATCCTACAGACCAAGGAGTAGGGATAAAAGAAAACCCCAGGTCATGACTGAGGCCACAAGGGTCATGATGACAGTAAAAACCTGCTTCTCTTCACTCACTTTCTGCTAACCCTGGATTCAGAAATTTGTCAGGGGAAAAATTCGCAGTGAAAGTGTCTCTTCATACTAGTTTTCATCCATGAGGGAAAAAAGTCTTTTCCTGAATTTGGAGGCATTTTTTCTCACTGAATTTGAAGTTGTAAATGTTGCTTCAGCTGCAGCCCTCTGAGGATTCCAGTGGATGGCTTCAGAAGTCTTATTTCTCTGATGTGTCAGTCTGTCAATTTTAGCCACTAACTTCTGACCTTGAATCAGACAAAACTCCACAAAGACAGCAACAAAAAAACCACAGCAGGCAGGAAGTCAAATGCGAATGGGGTCAGACCTCTCCACCACGACAAAGTCTAGGTCAATGACAGGGAGCTGCTTTTCATGATTCAACATCAGATGTCACCCTCTAACAGTTTAGGATCGGAGTACTCACAACCAATTGTTTGAGGTCTTGAATTTTTCTTAAAGAAATTATTCCCAAAAATGCTTTTTACTTAAAGCAACAGAATCTTTTCCAGTTATCTGGAGCAAACATGCCTTTTTGACATACATGTCCCATAAGAACAATTTCACTTATCTGTTCATTCATTCAATGAATACAGTGACATCTCCTAAAGGTCAGGCAGTGTGCCAAATACAGGACATGTATTGTTGAACAAGGCATATTTTCTGAAAGCCTAAAATCAATTAGGAAGATAGATAGCAAACAGGCAGTGACCCGCTTGACAAGAACAGTGCTGGGGAATGGACCCTGTGTCTTGACTTCTGCAAATGTACAGCTGTCTTATGATACACAATGTCCTATTAGTGATTATCACATGTGCATGTGTGCAAGGGCTCTGAAAGTATACAGCACCATGCAGACACAATTTTAATCATTCTTAAATTGTCTCACATCGCCTGTGAAAAATACAGCCTTAGGACAGTTTGTCCATGATTTTTTTGTGAATATTTTTAGTCAAAAATGATTGTTTAAAAATACAGCTACATTTCTTTTTGACCTCTGATATCTTCACTCAACCTCAAAAATCCGTTTCATTGCAGGAAAAATCTGCAGTCAGAAGAAGCAACATGGGTTCTTCACTCTCAACTCTATCTAGTGTTCTTAGGCCAAATGCATTCCACAGGAAAAGAAATGCTTCTGTCGCTTTCAAAGAGAATGAATTATAAAGACTTTCCACTTGTTATCTTCAGATAATGGGATCTTCCCTTTCCCCAGCTTCAAACCAGACAGATTTATAGAGGCTAAAACCCACTTGCTCTTATGGAGTAAAAATGATGACATAATTGCTATTTTTAATCCTGTAAGGTTTATATTTTCAAGGATGTGAAAGACTTATCAAAGTAAATTGCGTGATTAAGTTACATATAGCAAAGTTGCACTAGGTCCTTGGAGTCATATTAATATAAAGTTATTTTCCCATAACAGTAATTAGGAACATACCACATGTCATTTCTGTAATGACAACAATACAAAATGCTGTCGTTTTTCATCCAAGATGATGTAGGATGCATGTCAACCCATTTAGATACCTTTGCATGCCATGCAGTGTTATCTGTGCTGGTTTCAAAGATTTGTAGTAGATCGTATTTTTTAAAAAGATATAGAAGCTCTTTGAATAATGACAAACATTACTCTAGACTTTGAATTCTCCTCCAAGGCTGCCACAAGAGGGCATTCTTCCTCCAAAATACATGCATACAGATATTACCACTGGTTTCTACAAATAGAGAAAATGTGTGTAAGATATTTCATAAGGTTCTATGGCCTGGCTTGGAAATGTTTACATTAATGTTTGTTTATAACATCATAATCTGTTTTCTTCCCTTGGTTCTTTTCTGATTTTGAATTTTATAGGATGCTAATCAATGGCTTGGATTACAACCAAAAGATTGGCTATATCTTTTAAGCAAACAACTTTTTTGTTTGGCTTGTAGTTTGTAACTGGAGTTCTGTGATAAAACCAGTGGTTCATTGTGTGTCTTCTGTAGGGTTTTTTTGAAGAAGAGGAAGGTAAAGAGTATATCTATAAGGAGCCTAAGCTGACAGGTCTCTCCGAGATTTCCCAAAGACTACTCAAACTCTATGCAGATAAATTTGGAGCAGACAATGTGAAGATAATCCAGGACTCCAACAAGGTAGAGGAAAATCAGTATTCATTCAAGTGCTATGACTTGACTTGGTTGTTTTGTTTTTTGGGATTTTTTTTATATAACTATTTATTGTTTTAATTTTCTGATTGCACAAAGTAAATTACCAAAAGTATTTTGGATGTTTTGCTTGTTGAATAGTGATTTGTTCCTTTTCTTTTCTTTTTCCTTTTGTTCTGATCAAAAACATTATAAACTTTTATCTGAGTAAGTTTTCTGTCACCTTAAAAACAGCTTAACAAAACCTCTACATTTCCCATAGGTTATTTGCATTCAAGTAGCAAAGTGTTATGGCAATTGGGCCGAAGGGTAGAATTGAAGGAAATAGCAAATTGAAAATACTTATTCAATCAAGGAAGTCTTCCCTGAGCCATTCTAATTTACTCAAAATCTTCTAACATGCTCTTATTCATTTAGCCAATGTCTCCTAAGCACCTACGGGTCAGGCCTAGAACTAGGAGCTGGAGCACAGAGCCTTTTCTTGAAGACATCCCAGTTCACTTGGAGCTAAAAGGAGATGCTCTTGTGCAAATGATTAACTAGAATGCAATGAAATGCCATGAGAAAGACATGGGCCAAGTAGTACAGGGAAAGCAAGGCAGGGGACTTTCCACAAACTCATTTTGGCTAGGCAATGCTACCCAAAGCAAGTGATCGTTAAGCTGGGAATTGTAAGGTGAAAGGTGTTTGCTGGAAGCAACGGGAATTCTTCAAAGCCCTGCACATGCAATGACAGGAAGGAAAGAAGTATATGTATTTAGAGAATGGTGGGTCTTTGAAAGACAGGTTAGACAGAAGAATATGACAGAAGATGGAGCTGAAAAATCTGATTTGTTCCCAGTGGTATGCAGTTCTACTGGGTCACCAAAAAGGCCATTTCCCCACTCTCTCCTTGTACAAAGATGGTATTTGTAGGCATCTAAGCACAAGATCACTAGGTGTAGGCAGAAATTGTTACAAATGTGATTATCACTGTCCTCCATAGTTTGAAATGTAAAGTCAACTTTCCTATACAGATAGACAGAACTATTATGGTAGAGTTCCTAATGGAATGAGAAAAATGCCAGATTTGGTGTCAGAGCAACGTGGGTTTTCATTCCACCATACCACAACTTCTAGCTGGTAATCTAGGAGAAATTCATGGGCCTCTCTGAGCCTCCATATGTAATCTGTAAATGGTTACTGTATACCCACTTTACAGTGTAATTCTTAGTAGCATTACAAAAAGTTAATGTGGTTCCTCAAATCCCTAGAATTGGATAAGCAGTGGATGAGCAGATAAAGAAAATTGGAAGTTTTAAAATTCTTTAAGCTGTCATTAGAAAGAGGCTGACAATCATCCCTTCCAACCTCAAAGGAGAACCCAAGCAGTTTCCCTAGATTATCTAAGGTCATCCAGCCTATCTACCTTCCTATTTTTCAAGCCTAGTCACCAAAGCAGAATTGATAAATAAATTGGATAGAATGATTTGCCAATAAGAGAAGGGATTTGAAACATGGAAAATACAAAAATTTGCCATCGTGTAACAGGCTAATTAGCTAATCTCCTAAATAGACAGGGAACCTCCTCTGCATTACAAGCCCAAAGCCAATGGCCCCAGTCTAGGCACATGGCTAAATCACAGAAGGACTAGCAGAAAGTGTTTTCATTTTCAAGAGAATGGCATTCCACACAAAGGCCATAGGGTTTCATAACAGAAATAAAATGAAAGATTAAATAATATGCCCCAGATAGACACCAAAGAGCCTCAGGACTTGGTGAGCTGGCTCCAGTCCTACTGCTACCACACTGGCCTGCTTGAGCTCCATCAGCCAGGTTTTCCGAGGTTGTGCCCAGTTCTCACTTGATGTGATACCTCATCTTCCACCAAAGAAAGAGGGATGTCCTCCCCAGAATGCTAGCCAGGCATTTCCTTCAAAATACATATACGGCTCACTATTTTTTCTTTTCCCACATGTTAACACAGGTAAACCCCAAGGATTTGGACCCCAAATATGCCTACATCCAAGTGACCTATGTCACACCGTTCTTTGAAGAAAAGGAAATAGATGACCGGAAGACAGATTTTGAAATGCATCACAACATCAGCCGCTTTGTCTTTGAGACGCCCTTCACGCTGTCAGGCAAGAAGCACGGTGGAGTGGCAGAGCAGTGCAAGCGGAGGACAATCCTGACAAGTAGGTGCTGAGTGAGACCAAGCGTCCACATGCCTATAGGACACCCATGCTGTAGCAGGCTTTATCATTAAGCTAGATTAGTGGAATCAAACGTTAATTCAGTTTTGCAGATAAGTAAGCAAAGTGTGATGGCATGGAGATGTTTGCTGCTGATAGCAGGTTCCTTCCTCTCTCTTTGTTCTCTGTTGGAAGAGACCTTGAGAAGGCAGTCAGAGGAGACACTGTCCATAGAGCTACCTTGCTCACCTTTTGCCTTCCCTTCAGACTGGCTGTTCATAAGGGTCATGGTGTCAGTGTCTTGGGAAAGGCATAGGCACTGAACTTTTCTCTCTTCTCTCCTCTCCTTGAATCTACCCTCAGCTTCTTGGGGGTTAGCACATATCTGCAGTATGTGTTTGGGGGCGAGATTCCACCCACTCTGAAATTCACATTGTTCATCTCTAAAACGAATGCAGGCAGACATCTGCAATGTCCCATACCGTGTATCTAGATCTATTCTGTCACATTGTTATTTTTTCATTTATTCAACAGACAGTAGTGCCTACTAAGTGTTGAGTACTGTTCCATTTCCTGGCAATTCAAATTAAGATGATTCTTGCTCTCATGGTGTTCACAGTCTGGTAGGAGAGAGAGACAAGTAAAACAAGAATTTGTGGTGGGCACAGCAGGAATAAAGAAATAGGAACACAACCGAAGGGCTTAGCCAGCTGAAGGGAAATGAACAAAGGCTCTTTGGAGAAGAGGGCATCCTAGCCATCTTGAGAGATGCATGATCTTGGATCGTGCAGTAGAACTGAACTGGGATGAGTAGCATTTACCTTCAGGAAGCAGATGCAGAACTTTTGTAATAAAAAAAAATTCGATAAAAAAGCTATGCATTCTATTCAGCATTTATGTGACCATTCTTTATTGTGGGCTGGTGACGTTTCAGTGAAGGCTGTAATCTTTTCAGGGTTTAGCAACTGTAAAGGTCTTAATCCAGCCCCGAGAATGAGTCGGTGTTAAGTAGGGAAAGGTAGAAGAGATATCAAGTGAAAGTAGCTGGGGCCAAATATGAGACATGAGAGAGGATGGCCCTAGGAGAAAAATAATCCACACCTGAAAAACATGCAAATCGTTGTGCTACTTTCCATGAGACAGCACAAGATCCTCTAGACTCTCAGGGGAATCCTTGACTCTTCACCAACCCCAAGTCCTTCTGTGCGACTTTTCATGCAGCGAGTCACTTGTTCCCCTATGTGAAGAAGAGGATCCAGGTCGTAAGCCAGTCAAGCACTGACCTGAATCCTATTGAAGTGGCAATTGATGAGATGTCCAAGAAGGTTTCTGAACTTAATCAGCTCTGCACAATGGATGAGGTAGACATGATCAGACTGCAGCTCAAACTCCAAGGAAGCGTCAGCGTGAAGGTTAGTAAGCAGCACCACAGCTAACATGCATGTGGCCATTGAAACCTGGTAAAAAACACCCTGGGAACTGTTTTTTACAAAGAGTATAAGAAACATTTTTACCATTTGTGATGCCATCTAATACCTTTATCTGGATCTTTGAAATTATGTCTAGTTATAAATGCACATTGATAATGCCAGACACCTATAGAAATTCCTATAAGTTTACCTGAAATAAGATTTCTTCTCCCTGATCCCACCCATCCTGTCTTCTCTAGAGAAGCTATGTCTTGTATCTGCATCCTAGTGAATGAACCAATGAATAAACACAGCACTCCTGTACATATCTGTCATAGAGAGCCTTATAAGATTATTCCAAAACAAATCCAAAAAAGAGTGTTTACTACTTCATAAAATGTGCATTAGTGTTTAACTGGCTGTCAGGGTTGCAGCAGGAAGCAGATGGCATGCTTGCAGTGAGTAATGGAGGAGAATAAAATAAACATTTGCAGAACCACAAGCAGCATTGAAGACCAGCTATGACTGGTGCAGAGGTTAGTTAGCCACATTCAGGAGGAGCTGTCACCAATAGACCTAAAGATGCCCACACAGGAGCCTGAGAGAGAGCAGAGAAGGGAGCCGAGGAGCTAGTGAGGGTAGGTGTGTGTGGCCTCTGCAAGAGGAAGAAGCCAGGGCTCAATACCCCAACCTGACTTGTACTAGGTTGGCTACAGAGAGGCACTCCTCCTAGATACCAAATTTAATCAGTAATCAAGAAAAAATAATATCTGAATGCAATATTATAAAAGTCAAAATTGATACCCCCAACTCCACAATGCATAAAGTGTTAAAATTTTACATAAAGGCTGGCCAACAACAGTGCCCCTGCCGAACTATATTAGAAGCTGAGACAAAAGGAAAACCCAGTGACATTGATTCTGATACTGAGTTCATGATCCTCTTCTGCACTCCTCTTAGCTGTGTTCCCCACTGACTGCCTCAAAATCTTTAAAAATAAAAATAAAAACAGCCAGAAGCCAAGGGAACCATGTCTTACTGCACACAGGGCAGCTTCTCTAGGCACCTAGCTGAGCGGAGGAAAGTGGAGGATGGATGTGGAGAAGAAATCCCAGCAATGATGACTTCATCTTCTGCACTGGCAATGCCTGTGGTTCCAGGCTCCTAATGTCTGCTCAGATGCATTAGCTTCCTTCCTTCACCCCTTTCCTTCCCAAGCCCCACAGTCACATTAATTGATTTTATATGTAGTAAGGAAAATGAATTCCTCCACTAGTGTGAGCTTGCTCATGTGTGTGAGTGGGAATAGAATCTTGTGTTGTGGGTATGGGGACATAGCTCAGTAGTAGAGCACTTGCCTAGTGCATGTGAAATCCTAGGTTCAACGCTCAGCACTGAAGAAAAGAAAAAAAACAATGTTGTGCATTCATTCAGCAAACCTGACAAATATCTACTTGGGCCAGAATCTAAACTAGACTGCCAAGTGGAATACAGCAAAGAAATTCTCAAGCTGTGCGTATACCACTATCTCTGTGGAATGACTTTTCACAATAGTCATGTGTTTATTTTAATGTAAGTAGAAAAGAAAACTAACTAGCACATCAGACATTTGATGTCACAATTATTAACTTTAATTACTGTGAATGTATTTAAGTTAGTAGAAGGGAGTCTGATTTGCAAAGCTGTTAAGAAAACAGCACTTCAAGCAGTGTGCAGCCATGAAGGGCTGGCAAGACACCAAGTTTGGGGGTGGTGGCAGGGGAAGTCAGAGCTCTGCTACATGCTTCAAGTGGCTTAGTGACTAGTAGAACACCAGACACAATAGAAATACAGGATAATGGACCACAAGTCATGTGAGAGCATGAGGGTGCCCCATGAGTTGCCCATTCTTCCAACTGTGGAGAAGGCTCCAGGAAGGAGGTCAGCCTCAGACCAATTCTCTTCTCTCCAATAGGTCAATGCTGGGCCGATGGCCTATGCACGAGCTTTTCTTGAAGAAACTAATGCAAAGAAATACCCTGACAACCAAGTAAAACTTTTGAAGGAAATCTTCAGGTAGGAATCTCTTTGCTGGAATATTCTTCCTTGAACTCCTTAGACATGGAGGTATGAATTCCCCGTGAACCCTAACCAGCCCTCTTCAAGATGGAAAAGTATGTTAGGAGTCCAAGTTTGAACCCAAAGTCACTGAATTAAATGCCTCTTCCTACAGCTAGTTATTAATTTGCTTAATACTGTTGCTGAAGGCAATTTGCAGATGCATGTGGGCAGGCCCTTGATGTGAATGAGCACCTCATCAAGGAGGACCAGCTGGAGTACCAGGAAGAACTGAGGTCCCATTACAAGGACATGCTCAGCGAGCTCTCTGCCATCATGAATGAGCAGGTATGCTTTCCTGGTGTGGCACACACCATCAGCAGATAGAGAGTGTTCGCTGCTAGAAGGACTGGAGGAGAGAGTCTCTTTCCTTGCTGCAGAAGTCACTATCCCTTACATCAGCATTTTGTGGCTCTTCCATGCGCAACAGCCCTTGGCTCAAAGCAGAGGTCGAGTTAGAGAAAAATAATATGAGAACCCAAATACTTTCCAAAATTTTCAGAGGTATTTACACAGGCCACATGGACTGTTGGTTTTCTAGAATATGTGGATCTGATTAGACATTGAGGAGCTCAGAGGGAACTCCCATTGGGGCTTGTTGCCACATCTTTGCTGCGGGCACAACTCCCAAGATATGATGTGGAGTTCCACACTTCTGCCACTAGGGGTCTCTGTACTATATTATTCAGGAAGAGCCTTAGGTATTTTCATGGCCTTTCACCCCCAAGCTTATACTCTCTCTACAACAAAATTAGAAATAAGGGCAAAATAGTTTCTGCTGGGTATTGAGGGGGTAGGGGGGAGAGGGAGGGGGCGGAGTGG